TGAAGACCCTTGTACAAAAGGCAGGAAAAAAACTTTTTCCTCCTGTCTTCTTCCCCTGGTCTTTCTCACCATCTATCAGGGTGTTTTGTTTGTCTGTTTTTTGCTATTGAATGTTAGAGTCCCAGAAATGTGAGGATACTCAGATATGAGGGCAGATCCTCACCAGTACTTATAATCTGGTGTATGTGCAGCCCACTGGCTATAAGGTTTCCCTCCTACCTGCTGCAAGACAAAAGGCTCCACAAGTTCAATCAGGCATCTTTTTCCTTCCACTGGCCACAGCAACTCAAGGTTGTTGGGTGACCCCCGAGAGTACTGTCACCTTCATGTATAGATAAATGAGACAGTTGGATGAAGACAAGAGGTGTACCCTCACCACGTCACCCACTGAATGTTCCATGATGCTACCAGCCTGGGGCAAGGACTGCCACTGCCTTGCCCTCTCCTGTCCTGTCCTGCATAGAGATGCTCTGGGAGCATGTGCCTGACTCTAACTAACCCCAATCTTCTTCCTATCCATGCCTAGGGCTCCACCAGAGGTGGAGGGAGGCAGTGATTGGTGGACCATGCCCAGGAAGGGGACGTGTGAGTTAGAGGAGCTGTTGGCTGAGAAGCTGTCACAGGAAGGTGGCAAGAAGAAGACCTAAGGTCCCCCAGGACATACTCTATTGTCCCCAAGGACATCACTTTTAAAACACAAATTAAAAGACAAATTTTTAAGAATTTCATCATGGTAGCCACAGAGCACTAAACTCCATGGATGGGGGCCCAGAAAGAATGCATAGATCACCTGCTCATGAAGCTGGTGCTTCGTGGAAAGAAAGCATTCCATTTTATGCCTGCTGATTGTGGCATCAAGGATCTCCTGTTATCACTTTCCTGCCAAAATGTCAGGAGGAGATTGTGAGATTCTTGGCCACGCAAAAGTTGGGTGATTTTGGAAATGGGGAGTTTTTCCTAGAAACATAGCCTAGAGCCTGCTCTTTTAGCCACTTTAATGATTTTGTAAGCCATCTAATAGCTGGTAATAATTTCCTTAATACTTAGCCCAACCAGAAAGTCTTAATTGCAAATAACAGAAACCACAGCTGATAATTCTCTCTGGAGAAGCATGAAATAGACATCAGAAGAAAATTGACTGTGGTGGTGGCCACCATTCCAAACAGAAAAAAAAAAAAGCATTTGATATTGCCGAAGGTCATTCAGTGCTAGAAGAAAAATCATTTATATTAAAGGAGAGGCATCATGGAAATGGAATAGCAGTGTCACTCCTAGCTGCCCTTTATATTCCAAGAGTTGGAGAGAATTCTTGAAGCAGACCAGTGATTAGCATGTGGGCACAGAAACAAATTGTATCCTTGCTCAGAAAAAAGTAGGAATCATCCTTGTGATATAGTAGGAAAAATATGAGCTTTAGATTTATGTAAATCGAGGTTTGAATCCAGGCCATCTACTTTCTCTGTTACCTTCGGTAAGTAACTTCTCTAAGTCTCAATTTCCTCAAATTGTTCTTCTAGGGTAGTTAGAGATAATATAGAAAAACAACCCAGAATAATGTCAGATACACAGTAGATATCAATAACTACTGAAATCATAATAAAATCTGAAAGTGGTACATAGGACGATGTGGATGGCTTTCCCAGGTCACTATTGCATCCGGGTATATTGTCCAAGCGGAACTTCTGTAAAGCAATACCATACGAAATCTCCATGGGATTTATTGGCATCAATCTCCCAGTCTTCCACCTACCCATCTACCCCCAGTCAACTCACCCATACCCCTATCCCAAATAACCATCTACCCTCTCTCCCTTCTAAAATTGGCACGTAGAATTCAATATTAAGAATTCTCAAGATTAAATAGTAGCTCTATCTATCAAATCAAACCACAAATTAGAGAAATGATTTACTCCAAAATGAAATTCATTTAAAACTCATATAAAACTTTCTCCTCCCAAAGTTGGATCTGCTTTATAACAATTGCAGGGATGCTAAGGATCTCTGTATGTTTGGGAATCTCTTCATGTCAGCTCCATCCACCATACTGAATATTAATCAGAAATCTTTCTCTACCTTTGCATGTGCTATTTCTGCAGCTTGAGTTTTCTTTCCCTGGTTGGTGTGATACATTCAAGACTCACTTCACATTTCTACTCCTCTTTCTATCCCAGGGCCCCCAGACAGCAGATTTCACTCTTCATTACCAGCACAGAACCTTGCGCACACCTCTACACAACTCTTCCTATAGTGAATTTCAAGTATTTGTTTATATTTTGTCTATCCATATCTATATTTTGATATCCTTGTTGGCAGAGACCATACCTTGTTTATGTTTTTTATCTAATGCCAGCTCAGTCTTACGCATAGGGGGGCCTAATTCATACTGAGTTGATCTACAACCTTAAAAGTAAGCCCAAGCCCTTTACTCCCAACTTCACCCCGTTGGCTCAGTCCAGTGTTCTACTCTTCCATTATGATCAGCAGCCCCAGGCATCCTTTCTACTCTTATCAGCTCCACTGGATACCCAGGTCTCACCTGGTCTCAACCACCACTCATGCCTCTGCTCTGTCCTTTACCCTCACAGAAACATATCCCGGCATTTATAAATATGGGCAGAGGAAGATGAGGAAAGGGAAAAAAAAGAGAGTTTAAAGAAAAATGAATGGCATGGTCAACAATGAGAAATGTAGTACGAGATAAAGAGAATGGTTGAGGGCCGGGCGCGGTGGCTCAAGCCTGTAATCCCAGCACTTTGGGAAGCCAAGACGGGCGGATCACGAGGTCAGGAGATCGAGACCATCCTGGCCGACACGGTGAAACCCCGTCTCTACTAAAAAATACAGAAAACTAGCCGGGCGAGGTGGCGGGCGCCTGTAGTCCCAGCTACTCCGGAGGCTGAGGCAGGAGAATGGCGTAAACCCGGGAGGCGGAGCTTGCAGTGAGCTGAGATCCGGCCACTGCACTCCAGCCTGGGCGGCAGAGCGAGACTCCGTCTCAAAAAAAAAAAAAAAAAAAAGAGAATGGTTGAAATGTGTAATGTATTGAGACCTACTGTGCTCCAAGCTCAAAGGAGATGTAAAGGGGAGAGAAATCAACGAGGTAGAAGAGCCTCTTTCCCTCTACCTTGCATCCTACTATGGGGCCTTGCATTCTACCATGCTGTACGTGCTGCAGACAATCAGTAAGTAAATAACCAATGTAATTACAGCTCACGAAGAGTGCCACAAAGGAAGGAGGCAGGGAGATAAGATGATGATGATGACAATAATAGTAAGAAGTTACCTATAGTTAGCCCAAAATAGCTACTATATGTCAAGCCTTGTTTTAAATGCTACCAGTATCTAATCTGGCTTAATCCTTACAAGCACCCTAGAAAACAGGGATAATTATTTTCTCCTTTGTAGATGAGAAACTGAAGCACAGAGAAGTTAAGTAACATCTTTCAATGGCTAGCTTTGCTTAATGAGCAACTCAGCTATAATTGTTAAGAATGAGAAAATCAAATCTGATGTGTCATGGAATAAAAGTTTATTAATTAACTTGTAACAATTTCAAAAATCCTTTTTAGCAATTTTGAATCTTAAAGTTATATTAAATTAAGTAATAGATATTTATTAAATGTCTGGGCCATTTCTAAGTCAGTTAAAACACTGAAACACTAATTATTAAGCATAAATTTAAGTTTATACATTTTGATATATTTTTATGTGGTATGGATAAGCTAAATATATTTGGGTTTGTAAATAAACATGAAAATTTTGTTGTGAGGAAACATGTTTCTGAAAATTATGAAATGGTTACCATTGACAAAATGTTGATATAAAACAGTTCAAAATTGCTTATGTCCTAGGTTTTCATGATAAATTAAGGTTACTAGAGTTTTAAAAATCTAATTAACATATGGTAATTAAAACAACTCCTCACGCAAGGAAAGTAAGACATGTTTTTGGTAAGTGAAGCTTACATGAAAGATGTGTTTTAGTTAAGGGAAACAAAAGGAATTTTCGTCTTAAAACAGGATGATTAGTTGTCCCAAAATAAGAAAGAGAAAAGGTTGTGGAAAGTTTATGAAAGATGAATCTTGTGAAAAGAATTTTATGTGCAATTAAGCTGGCTAAAATTGGAAGGGAATTATAAGTTTTTTCTAAAAACAGCATTACTATCAAAGTTGTACTAATACAAAATGAGAATTTGGTTTTCTCCTTTAAACAAGATTTTTCTGGGGCATAGGTTCTCAGCACCTCCTGAGACTGTATCAAGGGAAAAATTTTTTTACAGATTTTTCTGTAATAAGAGATAGTAAAAGATTTTTTGTTCACCTTTTGAGTAAACTGCAAAAGGTGAGAGTGGGAGGGGAGAGAAAGAGAAACAGATTTTACGTGCTTCATGACGTCTTTTTTTAGGTCTTTTAATTATTTGGAAAATTAGGTCTTCCCTCTAACAAAGAGTAAAGGTTTTTGCTTTTTAAAACTTTTAATTATCAATTTGGCTAAATGATTGATTATTATTTCAGAGTGATCTGTGATCCTATTTTGATCAAGTGTTTTAAACCTTTGACATATTTGACAGGCTTCCCAACATAAAATTTCAAAAGAAAAAATAAGCCTTTTTGACTCCAAACTAACCTTCGGATGCTACAGAGAGCCCTTGAAGCATTCAAAACATATATAATAAATAGGCTTATTTGGTATGTTTAATTATATGGGAAGCATTGTCAAATAAGAAATGATGTTTAGCCTTTTCCTGAGTTACATCATTTTCCAAAAATAGTATGAGATTTCTAAAATTCTGACATGTCATGGTATATGTTATCAGTCATGATATTATGATTATTATGTTAAATTATTGTAGGCCACAGACAGAATTAAACTTTCTTGTCAATTATGTCTTTAGTTATAACCATTTTAAGTCTTGTTGTCCTAGTTAATTGATTAATTCTGATGCCTTTTCTGAAAGCTCTTTACAAGCAATTATAATCCTAAAGTGTTATATCTTCAAGGAGGTGCATGGAAAGGATGGAAAGGACCCTGACAGGCACTCCTGAATACAGATTTCTGATTACTTTAGGATCATATAATTTGGATTAGGTAAGAATTCTCAGAACTCTAATGAAGAAACTGGTTTATAAAATTGTTTACCCAAGCAGACTAGAATTAATTAAATACCAAGGAAATATGGTTGCAGATTTTCATACTAAGTTTATAAGTACTGAAATTGTTAAGATATACAATTCCAATAAATTCCATGGTCCAAGTCAAATTACCTATGATAACATATTTAACAAAGAGTGCTACACACCTGAATTAGAAAAACAAAACTGGAATGTAAGAGGATATAAACCCAAGGTTAAGCATGGACTCATGGAGCCTTGACTGCTTCCTGATTCCCTAAAGCTTCATTATAAGCTTTGCACTCCATGACTCATCATGGAAGAGATACAATGATCCAAATTATGGGAAAAAATATTGGCGTGGTGACTGTTCTAAATTTCTGTAATGGTTGATGACCAATTTTTGATTTGTCAAAACCATAATCCTGATAAGACAACCAAAACTTCAGGTACATTTCTTCAATCTGATGGGTCACTTATAAAGGGATTTCATTCAATTGCCATTTTCTCTGCATGTTTTCTGGTTGTACAGAAGCTTTCCCATATAGGAAGGCTACAAGAGTAGCTAAAAAGTTATTAGAAAATGTGTTTCCCTCATGGTGTATTCCTGGAGAAAATTCCAGCAATAGATCTACTTGTTTCACTGGACAAGTGGTAAAACAGTTAAATAAGGTATTATGGATACAGTCACATTAAGCAAAGCAAACTGAATCAACTGGATTGCCTCAGTCAAAGATATGATAGATTGATTACAATCAAATCCACTTCCAATGGGAACATAAGTTGATCCCCTAGGGAAGAGTTACCAGAAGGCCTATTTCCCTAATAATAGAAACTCATTTATGTTCTGCTTCTAACCTCTGATATGACTAAATGCTGCAAAGCTTTAATGCCTTATGCCAAAGTGTATTTTCACCAGGTAAAGGAAACTTTTCATGATTCACCAACTTAAGACAATCAAACCCTTCATGATCTACAACCTGGAGACCGGGTTTTCTGGGAACGATAATAGAGGAAGACTGCCCTTGCCACCAACACTGCAGCAAAACGTTGGGACATTGAACCTTGGGCCTGTAATCACACAACTCAGAGTGGCCCTTCAGACTCTTGGAACTGTACACCTGTAGGAGACCTTAAGGTGCAGCTAATCAGGGAAGTCTCTCCCCAGAAGCAGACAGCATCCTAGACATGGACAACTTTCCCAAGATCATGGATCAAGAATTCTCTGTCATCAGAAAAATTTTACCTCTCTTAGTTTTTTTCTTTTCCTTGCTTATGCCTCTATGAACAATATAATTGGGAAAGGGGCCTTGTGTGCACCAATGGAGTATGCTTTTATTTGTGGAGGATTTTGCAGCCAACCTTATACCTGAGCAACTTATGCCTTGATGGATGGAAGATGAAGGGCCAATACGGGCTAGAAATTTTAGTAGTACCTTTGCTGCTCCATGATCAGTCAGAAACAGAACATTTGTTCACTCCTCTTAACCTACATCTTAGGTTAAAGGAACATTGCCAGGAAGTCTTCACTCTTCTGGATGGGCATCATTTCTTAGGTCTCTTTTCCCATGGCCTGCATTAAATATAAATGAGGCAATGCTTACAAATGTATCACTCATAATAGGCTCTATAGCAGGTTCAACTGCAAAGGCTGTGGTTGCACAACAGACGTCTTTAAATTCTCTTGCTAACGTTTTATTAGGTAATAAAATTGCTCTAGATTAACTATGAAAAGAGAGGAATCTGTGCAGTTTTTGACACTTCTTATTACACATAGATGAATACATCAGGTATTATAGGGACTCAGTCACAGGGGATTAACCAACAAGCTGCTTAGTTAAAATAGGTAGATTCCTCATCTGGTTCGTTCTTTGATGTATTTGATTTTGATTGGTTTTGTTCAGGGGAAACCTGGCTAAGAAGCATATTCCAAACTCTTGATATTATCCTTTTGATAGCCATAATAGTAGTCTCCCTGATGTGCTGCAGTCTCTTAAAATTTTTAAAGGTGTACATGCAGCCATCTGTAGAATGCCAAGTGGTCTCTCTTCAACTAGAACAACAAAAACCCAAAGACATGTGATCATGAGGACACTACTGTAACTTACGACTGACTTGTTGAGACTAGAACCCCAAAATGATGGTAACTAAGAATAGCAATAAAGCTCTAAGTTTTGGTCATGCTCTCATCTAAGATTTGTTAAACGAAATTATGGGAGGCCACTGGTTTGAACTGAACTCCTGCACTAGGCCTTAACAGACTACACTAACCCAACTTGGAGTCACTTATGCTATGTTCCACATAATCAAACCAAAGCCTTAAAGAAGCAAGCAGATCTCAAAACAGATGGGAACTGAGACCCAATAAGACTCGTGAATTCTATACTGAGACCAAATAAGTCTGTCCATTTACAATAATGACAGAAAATGACATTATGCTTAAAGTTTATGGTATAATTGAGAGGTTGAAGGGGTCATTGTTAAATTCAGTTTGGCCTAAAGCTGCCTCCCTACATATTTTAACTTTTGCCTAAAGGTTTCTCCATGCATAGTGAGCTATAACCTAACTTGATATGTAAACAGACTGTAACCTACTCTTGTAACAAGTAGCTAATCACAGGCAGCAAACTGTTCAAACCAGGTTCAAATAAGACAAACACCCAGCTGTAACCAATCCAACTGTTTCAGTACCTCACTTCCATTTTTTGAATGTCACATTCCTTTTTCTGTCCATAAATATGATCTGATCATGCTACAGCACCAGAATTGCTCCGAACCTATTTTGGTTCTGAGGGCTGTCTGATGTGCAAACCATTCTTTGCTCAATTAAACTCCATTAAATTTAATTTGTCTAAAGTTTTTCTTATAACAACTGAATGGGATCATGAATTCTGACAGATATGAAATTCCACTGGTGCAAAACATTAGTAAACATGTTTAATGAAACTCTTATGAAGAAATAACATGTTCATTCCAAAACACTGGCCCACACCCTGAATATTGTAAAATTCCATCTCCTTTGAGAGACTCTAAATGGTTGTGTTTCTCTTCATTAATAATAAAGATAAGACGGACAATCTATATCACATTGGATGGGTTACTTGCATCACTCAAAATGAGTTTAATAATTTACTCAGTTTTGAAAAGTAAATTCAGTCTTCTATCAAAGGTTAAAATTTGTTGACCTATGGGTAATTATAAAAGAAAACTTTCTTAAAAGAAAACTTTCTTAAAAGAAACGTAAGCTCTACTGGGCAGAAAAGACTATGTACTCTGAATTAAAGAAAGATTGTATTATGGTTAGAAAAAAATTTAGAACTAAGTACATTATACTAAAATACCTAAAGATTATATATGGCAGGCCAGGCATGGCGGCTCATGCCTGTAATCCCAGAACTTTGGGAGGCTAAGGTAGGAGGATTGGTTGAGGCCAGGAGTTTGAGACCAGCCTGGAAAACACAGAGAGACATCTCTACAAAAATTAAAAAACAAAAAATTTACCTGGGCATGATGGCATTTGATCATAGTCCTAGCTACTTGAGAGGCTGAGAGGGCAGAATGGCTTGAGCCCAGAAGTCCAAGGCTGCAGTAAGCTATGATCACGTTACTGCACTCCAGCCTAGGTGACAGTGAGAGACTCTGTCTCTAAAAAATTAAAATAAAAATTATATAAGAGAGAAATTATAGTATTCTTCTGATTATCTAAGAACTTGCTATTTTAATCTAGATATTCTAGATTTAATCTATTTTATCAATCAAACTATTCTTCAGATCACAAATCACTATGTTTTTACCACATTACTAATCTGAAATATGAACAAACAAGACTGGTTGAGAATTGGGTAGAACAATTATAAAGAAACCACATGAAAAGGTGAGAAAAGAAAGCAGCAGGAAGCTCCAATAAAACAGGACACATTTTTCTAACAATGTTATTATATATTTAATCCATGTTTCTCATGATGAGATGCTTAAAGGCCTAAAAGTTACTTGGGAGTTTTGTATTACAAAATATCACAATTGATCCTGTTGCTAGATTTCTGCATTACAATTAAATCTAAGAGAAGAAAGCTGATTTCTATTAAGTGTTAGGTTTTGTAATGTATTATTGTAAAAGAGGAAAAAATAGGAGTTAATTTAGAAAAATTCTGGGTATATATTACTAGAGTTTTCACTCAATTTGAAATCAGAATGGAAACTAAGGTAGAAGACAACACCACATGACTGCCTTAAAAACAAAAAAGACCGCCGGGCGCAGTGGCTCACGCCTGTAATCCCAGCACTTTGGGAGGCCGAGGCGGGCGGATCACAAGGTCAGGAGATCGAGACCATCCTGGCGAACATGGTGAAACTCCATCTCTACTAAAAATACAAAAAAATTAGCCAGGCATGGTGGCGGGTCCCTGTAGTCCCAGCTACTCAGGAGGCTGAGGCAGGAGAATGGCATGAGCCCGTGGGCGGAGCTTGCAGTGAGCTGAGATCTGGCCACTGCACTCCAGCCTGGGCAACAGAGTGAGACTCCATCTCAAAAAACAACAACAACAACAAAAAGGCATGACTTGGGTATATTTCTATTGGGCTTAATTAAATTGACTGAAGTTTGCCTTCAGAAGCTTTTGTTTAACAGTGGTTTTTCAAATAAAATAACAACAAAAAAATACATTCTTATTTCCATGTTTTGACAAATGTATCAGTTAGGATTTCGTTCAGCTGCAAGCAACAGAAAAACCAACCAAGAGTAGACTGTATGATTAAGGGACTACCTTTTTTATGTTAAAAAATTTCTGATATGAGGCTGTTGAGGACTGGTACATGACTCCACGATATCATCAAGAACCCAGAATCCTTTTAGTTTTCTGTTCCACCATTCTTGACTTGTGGCTTTTTTCTGCATGGTCACAAAATATCTGCTCTACCACCTCAAGGCTCATCTATATATAAGGCAGGGGCTTCTTAGTTTATCTCTTTAAAAACGGTGTTTCAAAGTTTCATATCATAACAACTGCTTTCATCTTACTGGTTGAGAATTGGGTCACATGGTTACTTCTAATGGAAAGATGGCTGGAAACCTGAATGTTTTAGTTTTCAAGTCATGATGAAGGAAAAGACAAGAATGAAAGATTGAGAATGGCTTTTGAGTAGCTAGGCCACTGTGTCTGCTTCTATGGGCAAGGAGATAAGGATATTTATAGAAAATATTAATATGTGATTGAAATCATTTCTAAATAACAAGAAGAGAACTTGTTTAGCAAATGCTGACATTTATGTGTTATTGTCTGGCCTTATTAAGGCAGATCTTTATCATTTAGTAAGTCCACGTAAAAGTCATTTTCTTACCACTCAGATGGTTTCTCTAAATTGCTGTGCTCCTGCTATGATTTGACCTTTGGCTGAGATGCTTTTTCAAATGCTTTTAGCTAAGCCCTGCATACATCTAGATACTCAACCTTCAGGACAGTACAGATTTCAGCCCAATTACTCCCTTTCCAAGCTACAGCAGGAAAACCAAAACAAATATTGCATATTTGTCCAGTTCTCTTAAGTATCAGCTAGGGAAGCAGGATAAGTCCTCTATATTATGTGGTGATTCTCCATATTAGAATCACCTAGGAAGCTTATAAGATATGCTGATACCCTAATCTTTTTAAGGAGCTCTCTCTAGATGATTCTAACATGCAGCTAATGTGGAAAACTAGGCATTTGGAGAAAGAAAAGAAAAAGCTAGAAATAGCATGTAAAACCTTCAGCATGTTATTGAACCTCTTTAAACTCACTTCTCTCATTGTTACTTACATGAATTTATCCATATAAGTTTACTTTGGTGTTTGGCTCACAGTAAACACTTAATAAATATTAGTTATTATTAATATTGTTTTATCAAAGTTCATATTTTTTCATCATTTTATTTGTGAATAAATGGTTTCTCCAGGAAGCAAAAAATATATAAAAGCATAGATCTTGAAGGTAGGGCTTGAAGACAGCAAAATTTGGCATTTGAATCCCAGCTTGACCACTTACTAGTTGACCACCTACTAGCTTGACATTGAGCAGGCAAGCATTTGATCTGAGTCTCGGTTTTCTCATCTATTAAATGGGAGTGATACCTCTCAGGTTGTGAAGACTAAAAGATACTATGTATGCTAAAGGATAATTTTCAAAAAAGTAAAATTATGACCCTTCTACAGTTATAAAAGAAACATATGTCAAAGATTTTATTCAACTTTTTAATTACTGAGGGAACCGCTAATATAGTAAGATTTGTTCAAATGAGAATTTGACTTATAGAGCTTTCTAATCAACCAGTCAAAATTTGTTTGCTTTGATATGAATAAGAATTTGCTGCATTGTCAGCAGTTTTCAACAATTTAACAGCTACCTCTGCAGAGCTGCAAAATAACCTAGTCAACAGAAAGTCAAGGTGTGAGTTTTTGGAATCAGATAATCCAGGACTCCACTGTAATGCCCAGCACTCCACTGAAAGACACCAGTGATCCCCTTTGCCCATTTCTGAGTCCTGACAAGTATATAAAGCACAAGGCAGACTGTACTTGCCATGGAATCAGTGATGATTACATGATGGCTGCATTCATTATTCTTGAATAACATGATTATTTACGTAGAAAATCCAAACAAATCAACTAAATAAATGTATTATGACAGGACAATTACAATCATTAAAATTTATCATTACTGTGACTCTTGAGTTCATGCTTTACATTCTTCCCTTCACTGTAAACATACCAGTAACAACGTTTTTAAAAAATATATAAAGAAAAGTCATAGCCACATTCAAAAGCAGGATATAGATCACCTGCAGCACGATGCCGGAACTGAAGACTCAGGCAGCGTAGGCAGCCAAGAGTTGGACTCACGTGGGGTGACAGAGCAAAGCATTCTTCCTAAAGCTGGAAGCAAGGACAGTGTTCCCTTTGCCAGCTCAGTGACTGGATCTCTAATATCCCAAAAGACACCAAGCCACAGGAGTTCAAGCCACCAACTAAGACCATGCCCTGGTCTAGAGATGGTGGGGGGAGAGTTGGTGAAAGCAACCAAAAAATTTATATCAAGGAGTCTTGAAGAGGATGGAGATGAAAACTCCCACACAAGCTCAACCTGCAAATTAAAGTTTCAAAGAAAAGGAGAAAAATTAACCCTAAGAAAGAGCAAATAAACTTGTCCAGGGCATTAATAGTTAACACAATATGATGCAGAATTGTGGAAGGATAATGACATGGAAAACACGGCAAAAGAAGGGAAACGTTTCAGGGGAAGGTAAATGTCTTGAAGACTGATTTGCTCATTTGTGATGAGCTCTCAGCTCCAGCTCCACCCCATGCTTTCCCCCTATTGCAGGGAAGCAGAATCTGCATACGCCAGAGTCTTTTCCAAACTTTCCTTTCAGCTGTCTCTCAAAGAGTATTTGGCATTCTGGGAGGCAGTGGGAGGCACTGGAAAAAACTGGAAATTAGGAGGATTTCTTCTCTTCTGGAAGTAGCTCTGATAAACATGGTGGCAGCAGTGACAGCAGCAGGCAAGAGCCCTGGACATCTGCTCAGGCAACATGGTTCAGACAGTAGATGCAGTAGCAGGTACCCCAACAGCCTCAGCGGGACAGTTTCCCTAGGCTGCAACAGGGACAGCAGCTGATGACTTTGGGATCCTGGATCCCTGTAGCATCAGCAAGAGCGCTAACTCCCTGCTTCCTGTAAAGCAGCTGCAGTGGGGTTCCGGCAGCATCAGGGGCACAATGACTGTGGACTCTGGGTAGCAGCATCTGCCTTTCTGCTTCTCCTGCACTAGTATAGTGGTGACTTCTGGAAGTTACTAATCTCTAGGTAACAGATCTTGCCTCTTTTGCTCCTCCAGCCCTTCCAACATGTTTGCAGCCAGTTTTCTGTCCTACATTCATTCTGTCTGCTGATTCTGATTGCCTGAGGGGACACTGACAGTGTTGGCTATGCCTGCAGAATACAGATGACAG